TTGTCAGCAATTAATCAAATTTCTAAACAAATTATTTTAATTATATTTATGCAAAAATAAATAATATACCTATAATTTAATTACTCTTTAGTAAGCCTACAACACATCCCCGTCCCCTTTGAGTACTACTTTTGGATGACTTTTTAAGAAAAATGAATAAATGAATGAATTTAATTTGTTTTATAGTTTCCGAAGTGAATGAATACAACGGTTTTTACGAAGAGTTGCATTCATTAGGTTCGGGAGCTTTTGGGGAAGTATTTGTTGTTAAACATAAATATGATGGACACGAATATGCGGTAAAGAAAATAAACTACAAAGGTAATTTAATGACATTTAGATATATTTTGAATAACCACATTAAATTGTATTATACTGTATTCGTAGATCATAAAATTTTGTCAAATTTAGGATTATTTATAAATATCAAAATTAATACACTTACAGGTGCTGACCAATTACGGGAATGTATGCAAGAAATACAAAAGTTGGTAAATGTTAGGTCAGAATATTGTGTCCAATATATAAGTCAATGGTATGAAGACAATGTGTGTTACATTGAAATGGAGTTGTGTTCCCATAGTCTGCAGAATATTCTTTAACTTCTGTTCAATTCCTTCGTATTTCGCATTAAAATATTCCGCAAAAAAGTTGTAATCATTTTGTTGAATGAGTTTTAGTGTGGAATCAAATCTTGGATCAGTTTTGAGACAATTCTTATCAATAGACCACTCATTATATTTGGCTAAGACTTGTGAGCACTCGGGCCTTTCTGTCCAGTGAGGGCCGGGTATGTGCGGGTAATCCCAGTTATAGTATGACATTGAATGCAATACATCTGTTAATTCAATCACACATTTATTCATAACTTCATTGTTTGAATACTTTTGTAAACTTCAGAATAAATAAAAACTATTAATTATTAAATAATTTAAATATTAAATCACATTATCTTACGGTTTGTCCTCCAAATGAATCCCAAAAATATCTTTTTCTGCAATTTTAGCCAAACTGTAGACATCTATCTTATGGTTATAGACCACTCCCTGACCCACTTCTGGGGCACAATATCTCTGGTCTCCCTTATCTGACGAGTGTTGGTGAACAGTAGCCAAACCAGTCACATACTTTGAAAAACCTGCCGTTCCTTACAGTCTTCGCCAGTAATATATTGTCAGGTTTGAGGTCTCTATGAATGACCGGAGGATTCAATTCATGTAAATATTGAACGCATTCTAAGATCTCTTTGAATATATGACACGAAATGTAAAACTCGATTGAATTCATGGGTTCTTCCGGTTGTCGACCAAATACTTGTGGTTT